CGACCGACTCCAGTTTTGATAAACAAAGGGACGACTTCCATGAAAAAGGCACCTAACTTATTCTGGGTCCGTCAACATAGCTTTACTGACAGATGACTGTAACTCGCAGTTTGTAAACGCTGCTCAGCGGGAGCTTCGCTAAGCGGTATATATATANTATAATTGACCGATTGAGAGCAGACACTGTGCCAACGCAGCAACAATGATGAAGAAAGACAGGGGCATTGGGGTAAAGGACAAAGTGATGTAGAAATCAAACAGTTACAGAGGATCAAAATAGAAAGAACAGCAATGTTTATTGCTTCACCGTACGCTTTTTAATCATTTTGTGTTAGTTTATCATTTTAGTCTGCGCCACAATGCAGTATTCGAGCCACTGAGATTTGTTCTCGGTCATATTTCCAGGACGCCTCGAACCAACGACAATTCTTATCCCTTCGGTCCCAGCTTAGAAGACGAACCGCACTAGCCAAAACAAGAGCTGAAGCTAGATTCTTCATACCGCTACGTCATGCCTAACCATCACAACCTTTCCTCCATCCTTTCTCAGCAAAAGCAAATAGAGCACAGATGGACAGACAATGAGGAGGTGTACGCAAAACATTACCAAGCCATTGGAGTCGGTTTAACGGCTAACTTCGCGGTCTCTGCGTAGGCTTGCGATGAGGTTACTTCTCGTTATGAGTTGTGTTTCTTCATGCTCGCTGTCGGTCGGGATAGATCGGCTTATGTCAATTAGGTGCAGAGGCTCCTCCAAAATTTAGGGAGTCGTGGCACGAAGTGTAAAATCATAACTAACTAAACCTGCGGAATGCAGAATATACTTGATAAGCAACCAGTCTTCATTAATGTTAGGTAGAGTTGGTTCTAGCTGTCTTGATAGCGCAATTTGAAAGAAATTTAGACAATCTTGTTGAGACAGCTTATCACTGTCTAACTGTAGCTGTGTTGTGCGCTTGGAACGCCCACTGAAACACGTGAACAGCTTGGCGCAAACTAGTGCGTGGTCGGATTCGAGGAAGGTGCTCCAGGGTGATCGGCATTCGTGTCTGTAACCCAGCCATTTTTGGCTTAAAGCTATGCGGCCGATTAGCGTTTGCCACTTAGTT